CCTATCCCCTTCTTTCCAGTAAAAATATTCTGTTTTACCTTCTTTGCGTTTTCTTTCGTTTCCTATGGGTCCTCCGGAAAAAGGAAATTGAGCGCAAATAGATGTTGGTTCACAGATGGATCAAAAACACCTTCAGATTCTGGTGCAGGTGTTTTCAGTCGCAGACTCAGGACAGAGAAAAACCTGTCTAGGGACTTCTGTGATTTTATTCTACCGGAAATCTATGCTATTGAAGTGTGTGCGGAGAGACTGGTAGAATCCAACCTCATGCACAAGTCAATAAAAATATTCTCGGACGGTCAAGTGGCGTTTGGAAGCTCTTGGCTCCTGCCGAGCAACGTCTAAATTGGTAGAAAATTACCAAAAACGACTCTCCTCAGTGGAAAACTTAACAAACTGTCTCTGGTCTGGTTTCCTGGCCATACTGACCTGGAAGCCAATGAGGCTGCTGACTTCCTTGCAAAGGAGGGTGCTGCAAGCAACTTCATCGGACCAGAATCAGACTAAACAAATATTGAACACTTTGGATTTAGGATTTCTGGCAAAATCTTTCAGGATTGGGTCACTCCAAGGCGTTCATTCACTCTTCGAAGCTTGAAACCAAACAGTTCGTTAAGAAACTGATTTCATTTGGTTGAGTTGGTGTGAGCCACAATAAACCTTTGCAAGTTGCGGTGGAGGGTCGAATAGACCACCTAACCTAACCTAAACTCAGCAACGAGTGAACGAACTAGATACTAAAAATTCCATTCCACCACGACCTACCAGCCCGGTTTTGTTCAGTTCCAGTGCAACAGAAGCAATGATCGGCACCATAAGGACCTTTCGCTGCCGTGACGTTAAAAAGTTATGTAGAAGTAACGAGTTTTATACTCCGAAATGAAGCACTACAGCGGGTTTGTCATGAGAACAAGGGAATGTTTATTCGTATGCTATAAAAGCCCCCGAATAGATCATCAAGCAATAATGTCGATAATTCTGTGAAATATAGATCCCCATCTTGAGAGTTACAAACAAACAAACAAACATACATACATACAAGTGAAGCTAATAAAAGCGTGTTGAAAATATGTGATATTACGGAACAACTTATTTTCGAACATAGACATTTGTTGTATTATCAAAACATCAGAACCTAAAACTATATTTGTCTTGTAGTTTTTCCTTTTTTACATCAAATTGTTTAGACACCAAAGATTCCTGAAGATTAAACAATAACAATGTGAATAAATCTCATACACCTTTCATCTCAACTGATAGGTAGGTAGGTAAGTCGGAAGTGAGTGGGTCTATTCGACCCTCCACCGCAACCCATAAGGGTTTATTGTGGCTCACACCTATTCACACTCGGCCAAATAAACCCAGCTCTTTAACGAAGCCGATTAGTTTGTATGGTGAGTGGTCTTTTAGGTCAGATGTATATGCTCTGCAGTTTCATCATTTTCCAGATAGAGGCGACACACACTGTCTTCCGACAGTCCAAGTCTCTGCATGTGATGATTCAAATGACAG